AAAAATCTCAACTACTCTGGTCCATCTCCCCCCAAATTCTTAAATTGTAGTTCCCAAAAATAGAGGGCATCTTATACACGGGGGCATGTTATACACAGAAAAATACGGTACCTCCAGGACCTCCAGGACCTTCAGTCCTAGGTGCCTATGGGGTTTGCTGGTCAGCTTCCTGCAGCAACAGCAGCCCCATTCATAAATTTTTATTAGGGTTTTTACAATATTACAAAGTGAAAAATAAAAAATAAAAAATAAAAATAGTTAAAAACAATCAAACTTTTCATCACTTATCTTTCCTTTACTTGTTTCCCGGACCTCCTCATACCTCCCTTTTTTGTATTCCAGTTCAATTTATTAGTTCAGCAGTTTCTTTCCCTCTTTATTTTACCCTGATCTTTAATCTTAAATTATTATAACATTAAATTTTTACTTACAAAAAACCATTTTTTCATATTCTTTTATACCATTAGTTAGAAACCACTTAATTTCAATCCAACATCATTCTAACATTCATTAATTTTACAGTATCTCTGTAAATAGTCTTTAAATTTCTTCCAGTCTTCTTCCACTGACTCTTCTCCCTGGTCTCGGATTCTACCAGTCATTTCCGCCAATTCCATGTAGTCCATCACCTTCATCTGCCATTCTTCCAGAGCGGGTAAATCTTGTGTCTTCCAATGCTTTGCAATAAGTATTCTTGCTGCTGTTGTAGCGTACATAAAGAAAGTTCTATCCTTCTTTAACACCGATTGGTCAACTATGCCCAGGAGAAAGGCCTCTGGTTTCTTCAAGAAGGTATATTTAAATACCTTTTTCAATTCATTATATATCATCTCCCAGAAAGCCTTAATCCTTGGGCACATCCACCAAAGGTGAAAGAATGTACCTTCAGTTTCTTTACATTTCCAACATTTATTATCGGGCAAGTGGTAGATTTTTACTAGCTTGACTGGGGTCATGTACCACCTGTATATCATTTTCATAATATTCTCTCTTAAGGCATTACATGCCGTAAACTTCATACCTGTGGTCCATAACTGTTCCCAGTCAGCAAACATAATGTTGTGTCCAAGATCTTGTGCCCATTTAATCATAACAGATTTCACCGTTTCATCCTGAGTATTCCATTTCAACAGCAAGTTATACATCCTTGACAAAGTCTTAATTTTGGGTTCTAACAGTTCTGTTTCTAATTTTGATTTTTCCACCTGGAAGCCAATTTTCTTATCCAAATTATTTGCCTCCATTATCTGATAATAATGAAGCCAGTCTCGCACTTTGTTCTTTAGTTTCTCAAAACTCTGCAGTTTTAGTCTATCTCCATCTTGTTCCAAAATTTCCCAATATTTCGGCCATTTAACCTCCATATTGAGCTTTTTCTGAGCTTTCGCTTCCATCGGTGACAGCCACCTTGGGGTTTTATTTTCCAATAAATCCTTATATCTTATCCAAACATTAAACAATGCTTTTCTAACAATATGGTTTTTAAATACTTTATGCGCTTTGACCTTATCATACCACAAATATGCATGCCATCCAAATACATTGTTAAAACCTTCCAAATCCAAAATGTCTGTGTTTTCAAGAAGTAGCCATTCTTTCAACCAGCAAAAAGCTGCTGATTCATAATAAAGTTTAAAGTCTGGCAGGGCAAATCCACCTCTTTCCTTTGCATCTGTTAATATTTTAAATTTTATTCTAGGCTTCTTGCCCTGCCAGACAAATTTTGAAATATCTCTCTGCCACTTCTTGAAACAGTCCACCTTGTCCACAATTTGCAATGCCTGAAACAAAAACAACATTCTAGGCAATACATTCATTTTTATAGCAGCGATACGGCCCAGCAATGAAAGCTTCAAATTTGACCATATTTCTAAATCTTTTTTCACTTCAACCCAGCATTTTTCTTTTTCTTTTTTAATAATGATTTTTATTGATTTTCCAAACACAAAATAAACACAAACAATATACAATACATAAACAGACAAACATTTAACATGTATAATTTCATAACCCTCTTTTCCTAAACCTTACTTCCCGGACTTCCCCATGCCTCCCCTTTTCTGCATCCTTGTTTTTACATTTCTTCAGCTACTCCCCCCATTAACTAATTATTCAATTCATTTTCTTTTTTGGTTCTTCTCTAACTTATCAATTACAGCTGCAATTCTCTATTTCCCAATCCCTTGACATTTTAGCACTCATCAATTTTACAACAGTTTTTAAGGTATATTTTAAATTTCTTCCAGTCTTCTTCCACAATCTCTTTCCCTTGGTCACGGATTCTGCCAGTCATCTCCGCCAGTCCCATGTAGTCGATCACCTTTGTCTGCCATTCTTCCAGCGTGGGTAGTTCTTGTGTCTTCCAATACTTTGCTAAAAGAATCCTTGCTGCTGTGGTAGCATACATAAAGAACGTCCTATCCTTCCTTAACACTAATTGGCCAACCATGCCCAGGAGAAAAGCCTCAGGTTTTTTAGGAAAGGTCCATTTAAGGACCTTCTTAATTTCATTATAGATCATTTCCCAAAAGGCTTTAATCTTCGGGCAGGTCCACCAAAGGTGGTAAAAGGTACCTTCAGTCTCATTACATTTCCAGCATTTATTATTGGGCAAATGGTAGATTTTTGCAAACTTGACTGGGGTCATGTACCACCTATAAATCATTTTCATAATGTTTTCCTCTTAAGGCATTACATGCCGTAAACTTAACACCGGTGGTCCATAACTGTTCCCAGTCAGCAAACATAATGTCATGACCAATGTCTTGTGCCCATTTAATCATAGCTGATTTTACCTTTTCATCCTGTGTATTCCATTTCAACAGCAGATTATACATTCTTGACAAATTCTTAGTATTGGGTTCTAACAGTTCTGTTTCTAGTTTTGACTTCTCCATCTGGAAGCCAATTTTCCTGTCCTGTTTAAATACCTCATTTATCTGAAGATAATGAAGCCAATCTCGTACTTTAGACTTTAGTTTCTCATAGCTCTGTAGTTTAACTTTTTCACCATCTTGCTCTAAAATTTCCCAATATTTTGGCCATTTAGACCCCATATTGAGTTTTTTCACTTCCTTGGCTTCCATTGGTGACAACCACCTGGGGGTTTTGCTTTCCAATAAATCTTTATACCGCGTCCAAACGTTATATAGTGCTTTCCTAACAATGTGGTTTTTAAAACCTTTATGAATTTTTACCTTGTCATACCATATATATGCATGCCAACCAAATCTATTGTCAAACCCTTCCAAATCTAAAATGTCCGTGTTCTCAAGAAGTAGCCAGTCCTTCAACCAGCAGAAGGCTGCCGATTCATAGTACAGTCTTAAGTCCGGCAGGGCAAACCCCCCTCTATCTTTTGCATCGGTTAGTATCTTAAATTTTATTCTGGGCTTTTTGCCCTGCCAGACAAATTTAGATATATCTTTCTGCCACTTCTTGAAACAATCCATCTTGTCCACAATCTGCAATGTCTGAAACAAAAATAACATTCTCGGCAATACATTCATCTTGATGACAGCAATTTGGCCTAACAAGGAAAGTCTCAACCTTGACGATATTTCTAGATCTTTCTTTACTTCTGTCCAGCATTTATCATAGTTGTCTTTAAATAAGTTCACATTCTTAGATGTTAAATTAATCCCCAGGTATTTCACTTTCTTTGCTACCACCAAACCTGTTTCACTCTGAAACCTCTCTTTTTCACCATTTGTTAAATTTTTCTCCAAAACTTTAGTTTTCTGCTTGTTCAATTTAAAACCTGCTACCTGACCAAATATTTCAATTAATTCTAAAACTCTTTTTGTACTAGTGTCTGGCTGTTGCAAAGTCAATACTAAATCATCTGCAAATGCCCTCAGTTTGTATTGTCTGGCTCCGACCTGAACTCCTTTAACCAGTTGGTCCCCTCTAATCATATTTAACAGAACCTCCAGGACCGAAATAAAAAGCAATGGGGATATTGGGCATCCCTGTCGTGTTCCTTTTTCTATAGGTATTTCTTCCGTAACCACATTGTTAACAATTAACTTTGCTTTTTGTTCAGAGTATATTGCACCTATACCATTCTCGAAACCTTGGCCTACCCCCATCCCTTGGAGATTCTTCTTCATAAAACTCCAGGAAATGTTATCAAAGGCTTTCTCCGCATCCACAAAAATTAGCACAGCCTTCGTATTAATGTTCACTTCTAACAATTCCATAATGTCTATTATATTTCTCACATTGTCAGACATATGTCTCCCTGGAAGAAAGCCAGCCTGGTCTTTATGGATCTCTCCCACCAACACTCTCTTTAGTCTTTTTGCCAAAATGTCTGCAAAAATTTTATAATCCACATTAAGTAGTGATATAGGGCGGTAGTTTTTAACCTGGTTCTTTTCAGTCTCAGTTTTCGGTATAAGTGAAATAAAAGCTTCTTTCCACGACTCAGGTGCCTTTTTCCCCTCCAGAATTTCATTACAAACCTCCTTTAATGGTTGTACCAGCCATTCCTTCAACGCTTTGTAATATCTAGCAGTCAAACCATCTGGTCTTGGAGATTTTCCCAGTTGCATATTCTGAATGGCACCCTCTATTTCTTGTACAGTTATTTTCTCATTCAAAATCATTTTGCTTTGTTCTGAATTTTTTTGTAATCCGTATTTCTTAAGGAATTCTTCTATTTCTTCTTCGTTAACTGGCCCTTGTGCATATAATTTCCTGAAATAACTCTGGAAACAATTACTAATCTCATTTGGCTTGCAAATATTCTTTCCATCCACCATCAAACTTGTAACTGTATTCAATTTTTGCCTCTTCTTCAATTGCCATGCTAGGAGTTTCCCACATTTATCTGCTGATTCAAATGTCCTTTGTCTCATTTGCTTAATTTCCCATTCTATCCATTCTATTTCCATTCAACCCAGCATTTTTCATAGTTTTTCATAGAGGGCGGAGTTGAAAGCCAGAGGCTTTCAACTCCGCCCTCAACAACTTTCAACTCCAGAAGGCTACACGAGCAGAGGAGTCTTATAGAGCCACTACCTGTGTGTTCCTTACTTTGCCTAGCCTCTTGCTGGGTGCAACTTGTGCACTGAGAGGAGCCCTGCCTGAACCGCCCCGACCCCAGAAGGGCCAGAGAAGAAGTCAACTTCACTCTCTTTGTTCCGGAAAGCCATCCCATGGGGTGCAGCATCTTCCCAGGGCCTTGGGGGCCATGGGTGGCTCTTACTTGGCTTTTGGCAAGTGTTTCCTTTGGACTCAGCACAGAAGGTAAGTCCCACCTGCAAGAGGAAAGTTTGCATGTAGATTACCTGCACTCTCAATTTCTTCAACAGTGACAAATCCCACTCTACTTTCTGAACTGGAAACAAAGGAAGGATGTGTGCGGTCATATTGTAAATGACAATTATAGTAACTTGGAGAGAGAAAATGTGTGCAGCACACACACACATTTATTTTATTGATTATTTATGCCTCTCAATTTCTCATCCCCCCAGGGGAGCCAAGGGTGATGTACCATTATTATGTGACTATAAAGACACAAGATGCACATTGTGAATGAAAGATAACAACAGCGAACACATTATGCAATATATATATGTATGAAACTCACTGTCACAAATACCTGCAACCTACCGTATTTTTTGCTCTATAAGACTCACTTTTTTCCTCCTAAAAAGTAAGGGGAAATGTGTGTGCGTCTTATGGAGCAAATGCAGGCTGCACAGCTATCCCAGAAGCCAGAAAAGCAAGAGGGATTGCTGCTTTCACTGCGCAGCGATCCCTCTTGCTGTTCTGGCTTCTGAGATACAGAATTTTTTTATTTCCTTGTTTTCCTCCTCCAAAAACTAGCTGCGTCTTGTGGTCTAGTGTGTCTTATAGAGCAAAAAATACGGTAACCTCAGTTAGTAAAAGATAGGTCTGTGGAAGGCTGTGAAGAGTCAGTGTAGACAAAACTGAGCCAGTTGCATCAATGGTCTTAGATGACCCACGAGGATCCCTTCCGACGCCACAGTTCTGTGATCCTAGTGGCTCTCAGCTGCAATGCCATTCTAGTACAATGGATTCCATCATTAATTTAAGCACAATGGATTAAGATTTTTAAAAGACAGTTTTCCACAGCGAACGTTCCACTAAAGCCCATGTATGTCTGTGTGATGGACAGCAGAGCCAGACCAGAGTCCAGTGGTGGAGTCCCTCGGAAACCCAGCAGAGTGCTGAAGCCTCTCTCTGATGGACTACGGAGCCAGCTAGCCACAGAGTGGGGAGGAACAGCACATTTGGGGGAGGGAGGGATAAAAGGAGCAGTTTCTGTGTGAGTGGCAGCTGATAACACACAAGTCCGGTTAATTAAAAGGGTTGGTTTATTGGTAAATTGTAGAAATTCATGTAATTGGTGTACCGTGAGAAGGATGCACTATATTTAATTGGGGGCGGTTGGCGGGAGCACATCCGCCACATTATTAATGGACGGATTCGCTGCCGTCTGCACAGAGAGTAAAAGTTCTGTGTTTCACAGTGCATGGAATCAACTGCCACAGGTGCGTAATGGAGAAGCCAGGGCTGCCATGCTATCCTTCAGACGGAATCTGCTCAGTGTGGCGTGGTGGGGGATGCTTTACTGAGAAAGAGTACAAAGGTAAGGAGAACTTGCAGGGTGAAAGAGTACAAAGGTAAGGAGTACAAAGGTAAGGAGAACTTGCAGGGTGATTCTTTTCTGTGTCTGTGTGTATATGCACCTGTATGTGGCGACACCAATTTATACCTCTGTCCCTGTCCACCACAGGCAGTCATGTGCAAATAGTCTGAGGCCCCAGAGCCGGCCCTGCCATGAGGTAGACTGAGGAGAATGCCTCAAGCAGCAGAATAGAGCAGGACCCAGGAGCAGCAAAATCCCACCACTAGGGTGGTTTTTTTATGCTGCCGTGGTCTATAGCGTAGGCTGGGTGAGCTTACAGGGGCAGGGCAAGGCCAACTGCTGTGTCTGCTATTCGCCAAAGGGCTGTTGTGTGGCACAGCCTCCCCACCAGCAACTTCTCTCCCTCCGGCTGTTCTCTCCCTCTTCCAGACAGTGTGCTGAGGGCTGGCTCACTCCTGAAACCCCTGTCCACTCTGCCGCTGGGGCGAGAGCAGCAGCCAAGATTTGCTGCTGCTCCTCCTTGCCCTTCTTCTTTAATCCCCAGCTGCCGCCTTCCTGAACTTGGGTGCTGGGCAGCAGGGCCAGGCACCAGGAAGGATCTGCCTTCCCTGAGCGCTAATTTGGGGTCCTGCTATAGAGGGGGAGCCTCCTGCCCCTCCAGGAGCAGGAGCAGCTGCCATTGCCACCAGCAACCCAACCTCAGTAGCACTTTCTTCTCAGTATACATGCATAGGCTCAGGTTGTATAGTTGCAATCCTCTACGCCGGTGGTGTTGAATTAGCTAAGTACTGTGGAGCCCCTACTTTTGAAAATGTCAGTATCTCTATGGTAGTTTTTGTTATGTTAATGGAATATCCTCCAACATCCCGGTGATGCAAATCGGGATATGGTCTGGTCCCTCAACGCAATTAAAAACCACCTCTATCTTGACAACGGCCCCATCTCCTGTGCAGATATATGCACCCCACTCAGTGACCCCTCGCTTCCCACCAGGCACCTCAGTGAAGGCCCTGCACCTCACTCACACACCCTCTACTCTTTCTCTCCCTGCACCATCCAACTGAGGGGGAAAGTGTGTGTGTGTGTGTGTGTGTGTGTGTGTGTGTGTGTGTGTGTGTTGCAGAAGGTATTCAGCTGAAAGGGAATTGTGCAGGGGATGCTATCTCCAACCCGTTCATTTCAATAGCCTTTTTAAGGTTCACTAAAGAAAAAGTAGCAGGAAGGTGAATAATTGCCTTATATCATTAGTATTATTAAATTTGTATGCTGCCCTTCATCTGAAGATGAACAGGGTGGTTCACCCTTGTTGTTTAGTCGTTTAGTCATGTCCGACGCTTCGTGACCCCATGGACCATTAACAAACGACAGTTCCCAAGGGGAGTTGTTCTGTGGTTCACCTCATGCAGAAAAATGTCTTGGGCTGGCACTTTGTTGGGAACCCAGCCAAATGGGTGGGGTATAAATATTATTATCGTTATCGTTATCGTTATTATTATCTAGTGGAATAGGGTGCAAACTACTACGTGTAAACTGATTTGAGCAGCAGTACAACAGGCCATCCAAGCAGGAATGACAGCTGGGCTCAGGAAGAACCTGAAAAAGCCCTGGGCCCAACTGACCCTTATGCTCTGCAAATGGTGTTATAAAGAAGGCTGGTTCTGCTGTATTCTGTCACACCTTCCCAACATTCTGTCTCACTCTGGTGTGGCAAACTAGCAAGATTCAAAACTGAACAGCAAAGTATGTATCAGCGGATCTGACTCTCCATTGCTGAAGTCACTGGGTGGTCCATTCCTAATGCACTATATACAAAAAATGTAATATGGGTCTTACACCAGGTGATCCTGACAGTAGCACAGGTACAGTGGTACCTTGGGTTACAGAGGCTTCAGGTTACAGACTCCGCAGGAGGCCCCATTAGCTAAAGTGGTGCTTCAGATTAAGAACAGTTTCAAATTAAGAACAGACCTCCAGAACGTAACCCGAGGTACCACTGTATTAGGAAATACCTCATAAGTAACACAAAGATGCCTTCTTCTCTCCACAATCCCAGATGGCAGAGTGGTGAAAATAACCAAGGGCTGTTATGTAGATAATTCCAGATGTGAAACCAGATGGATAAATCATGCAGATGAAATTGAACATGAGAAACGCTGCTGTGCCAAAGACAATTGCAACAACAAATGGTAGAGTGTGGATGAAGACACACGTAACGGTTAAGGCTGAAATCCTACCAACACCTCTTGTGGATTAAGCACCATGGAACTCAGTAGAATTTCCTTCTGATTAAACATTCATACAATTACTCTAGATGAAAAATTGCATCCCTTCTTCTTTAATATTGTAAGACACCCTGATGATTGTGTTGTAGCGCCACCTATAAATCCTTTGAAGAACTAAATAAACATGATTTTAAATGCTGGCTGCTGTCTTTGCAAATACACTCAGCTTCAGTGATTCCTTAATTCCCATTGCGCACCATGTTCAGAGTGGTGAAAAATTGAGGCTCTTCCTCATTTCACTGGAGGCATGGAGCTCCTAATCAGCTTTCATGAATCTGAATGGATTTTCCATGGGTGCCTGTTCCTGCACAAACATTACCACAGGACCTGGGACTGTATGTAGCCTTGTGTGTATCTGAGCCTTTCTTCATATACAGTATTCCATTGCCATTGTCTATGCATATTTTTGAACGCACCCATAGATACAGCACCGCAGTTTGCGCCACCTCATGCTATCCTTAGCGCAGGGGTAAGCACACTTCCCTTGGGCACTTAGAAGAAATAAACACACTCTTGTCGCTGCCACCCAGTGGCAGAGGAAACCGCTTGGGCACCCGGAGCGGCAAACATGACATGCACCTGGGGGTGCTGCGATCCACAAACAGAGGTGGGGCAATCCGCCCACATGGGTGCACCGAAACTCCTGGGGCTGGCTGCACCGCCTGCCAACCATGCAAATAAAACAGGGGGCGCCCTTTGCGTGGACGCACGCAGCCCCTGGATCTGGAGCGGCTCCATTCTGCATAGGCTTGGCTTTGCCTCCCCTCAGGTGGGATACCTGGAGGTCCCCGCCTACCTCAGTCAGTTGTCCAATCCCACCTGGGGGAAGCGTTGTCAAGGAGACCAGGCCAGGTAGGGGAGGGATTACCTGCCCACACAATAGAGGGAGGATCTTACCTGGGAATCCTCACTTGGCTCCAGAGCTTCTCCCACCCTACCCACCCTCAGTTAATGTCTTATTTTGCAAGTTAACTTTCTTCACAGGTTTTGCAGGTTAACTTTTCTTACAGGTATGCGGGCGCTGCTACGTTAAGGTCGCTGTTAAAGGGCCGGAAAGGAATTTCCCTGCATTGGCAGGTTTCGCCTTTCCCGTAGCAAAACATCACAACTTTGGCAGTATCAGGCCTTGGGCGGAATCCTTTTGTCCATCTTCCTCTTGCAGCGGCGATACCAGGGTTCCCAGTTAAAGGGGTTTCTGAAGGGAGGCTTTGACCGTACGCCGAAAGATTGTCATTGCTCTCCCCTGCGGTGGCGGTGTAATCTCTGCTTAAACATATGTTCTCCAGAGCCGGCCCATCCCCCACACAAACACTGGATAACCCTGAAGCTCCCTAGGTCCCTGGCTGGGGGCTGGGGAGGGAGAACGCCCAATGCCTGAGCCAAGGTCTACCCACATTTGAAATTTAATAAAGTTGTGGCCAATTTAATCCCATAACACGTTGTCTTGAGTTCTTATTCCACATGACGGGGGGGGGCGCTCGGGACCTGGGGACTCCGCCTGTCCACGCAATGAGGATTTGAAAGCTGGCTTATGCAGAGTTTGATGATTGTTCTACCTTCCTAAGTACTTTGGCAGGCAGCAGGTCTTCTAGTGGACACTGCAGAGTGCCATGCACAGCCAGATCCTGGGCCTTGTTCTTGCTTTGTCCATCTTCTCTCTAGCCGGGGAGCAAGCAGCATCAGAGAGGCTGGTGGCATCACAGGCTGGATACTGTGCCCTGCATGTTAGTGAAATATGCGGTTGGAATGCTGTCAGATGCCCTTGGTTTTTGCAATGGAAGGGCAAGCAAGACGGAAACTGTGGGTGTTCGGCAGACCTGAGATCCACCTTTTTTTACCTGTACAGCTCTGCTTCTAAACATTTTATTATTATTATTATTATTAACAGTACCTGTTAAAGAGGTAAAAAAACAACATTAAAAACAACTTACAACAATAAAAAATATGGTAGATCTCTTATTATTAATTCATTTGTTACAGTCTGGTCTGTTTCTGAATCTCTGCTCACTCTGGCTCAGTCTGCATTTAGGGTTCCAAGCAGCTCAGTATTGTGGGAATGGTCAGGGCGGCAGGAGAGGACATGTTGTTTATTAATATCCTTCCTAACTTGCTCTAGCAAGTTCCTTTACTTAGTAGAGTTTACATTCCCCTTCCCACGCACAGCAGATAACTGATTGCAAGCTCGTGTGAGCCTATCACTATTATACAATTCAGTCTGTCTCAGATTGAATTGTACGTTCCTGGTAAGTTCCCTTGAATCCCTCTTAAAAAGAATAAAGGTGCCACAATCTTATTCAAAGATAATAAAAGAAGTTTACTCACATCAGTTCACAGTTGGATTCCTGAAGGCAGACTTAGTTACAAATATGTACATGTGGATTTACCCCCATAAAAGGTAAAGGTAAAGGTACCCCTGCCCGTACGGGCCAGTCTTGCCAGACTCTAGGGTTGTGCGCCCATCTCACTCAAGAGGCCGGGGGCCAGCGCTGTCCGGAGACACTTCCAGGTCACGTGGCCAGCGTGACATCGCTGCTCTGGCAAGCCAGAGCCGCACACGGAAACGCCGTTTACCTTCCCACTAGTAAGCGGTCCCTATTTATCTACTTGCACCAGGGGGTGCTTTCGAACTGCTAGGTTGGCAGGCGCTGGGACTGAACAACGGGAGCGCACCCCGCCACGGGGATTCGAACCGCCGACCTTTCGATCGGCAAGCCCTAGGCGCTGAGGCTTTTACCCACAGCACCACCCACGTCCCATTTACCCCCATATGGGGGAATAATCCCTAGCAGAGCTGTCCTAGCTAAAAGCTGGTCAAACGATGAAGGAAGTCAAAAAGAGGAAGGGGTGCTGTGTGACTCATCCTTTTATTACCTGGACAGGTAAGATCATACCCACCTTCTATCACATGCAAAAGCAAGGATGTTCCAGCCAGGAGGAACATGAAATATCGACTGGCTGGACCAAACATTCCCCCACATGTCCTCTCCTAGCATTACAATGAATGTTGTACTTGGCTGCCTCTCATGGATCACATCCCACAAGTATAAAATGAAGCTCTTTGTTCTCCAATTCACTATTATGCGGATTCTAGAAGCAGCTACAATGTGTGTGGTTTTTTCCTTTTTGACCAGAGTGGATAAAATTTACAGACACAGAACCTCATTCATACAGAAACACCAGCTACAAATCCCCAGTGTCTCCTGGGACTGGAAATGAATTACATATAACTTTTAAGGGGGTGAGTGAAGATCATTCTGAGATTTCAAGCTGTGCATTACGGTTAGTCCTCTTTGTTTCCTGCTAGAGTTAATGACATGGTCATCCAAATAGTCTAATTCATGTCAAAGTATAGTAAAGGTAAAGGTAAAGGTACCCCTGCCCGTACGGGCCAGTCTTGACAGACTCTAGGGTTGTGCGCTCATCTCACTCTATAGGCCCGGAGCCAGCGCTGTCCGCAGACACTTCCGGGTCACGTGGCCAGCGTGACAAGCTGCATCTGGCGAGCCAGCGCAGCACACGGAACGCCGTTTACCTTCCCGCTGGTAAGCGGTCCCTATTTATCTACTTGCACCCGGGGGTGCTTTCGAAATGCTAGGTTGGCAGGCACTGGGACCGAGCGACGGGAGAGCACCCCGCTGCGGGGATTCGAACCGCTGACCTTTCGATCGGCAAGTCCTAGGCGCTGAGGTTTTTACCCACAGCGCCACCCGCGTCCCCCAAAGTATAGTAGCAAAGGTTAATAGCCAGAGCTGTGCACCAGATTCAAATGAGGCCCAAATCTTGACAAAATCAGGCCTTTCGCAGGCGTTGGAATCCAGGGATCCAGGCCTCGGAGGCCACTTGGGGAGGTACAATAAGGATCAGACTTCACACCTTGCAAGCTGGTAAACGGGAGGATCCAATCCTTTTCTGGTGCACTCACTTCAAAACGTATTTTAAAACCCTATACAATCGTACCTCTGGTTATGTACTTAATTCGTTCCGGAGGTCCGTACTTAACCAGAAACTGTTCTTAACCTGAAGCACCACTTTAGCTAATGGGGCCTCCCGCTGCCGCTGCGCCGCGGGAGCACGATTTCTGTTCTTATCCTGAAGCAAAGTTCTTAACCTGAAGCACTATTTCTGGGTTAGCGGAGTCTGTAACCTGATGTGTATGTAACCTGAAGCATATGTCACCCGAGGTACCACTGTATTTAACTGTATGTTTAAATAGGGTTTTAGAAAACCACCAGAAACCCTCAGATCTGCCCCTGAACTGCTGAAGAGACAGATCCAGGTGGGGAGGGTGTCCATCAGGGCAGCACAGTGTAAACTGGCCCAACCCAGGGGCCATACATCACAGGGCTAATTGCATGCCCTTCAACTGTCCTGATTAAATCGGGAAATCCTGTTTTGGGGGGCCATGCACTTATGCAAGAGCATGACACACAGAAACGAACATTTTTTAGCTCTGTGGTATTTCACTGGTCAGGTAACTTGTGCAGGAGCATGACCTAGAAGACGTACATCCCAGTTTTCAGCTGGGACATGTTGGAGGGTATGAGACTGTGGGGTCTTTGCACAGCCCTTAATTAATAACATTAAAAGAGCCCTGGTGGATGAGATAAAAGGCTTCCTAGTTTAGCATTTTGTTCTCACATTGGCCAACCTGATCCCTTTGCAGTGGCGTAGCGTGGGTTGTCAGCACCCGGGGCAAGGCAAGTAATTTGCGCCCCCTAACCCATGGATTTGCGCCCCCTAACCTGTGGATTTGCGCCCCCTAACCTGTGGATTTGCCCTAACCCCAGATGTTGCGCCCGGTGCGGCCGGCCCCCCCTGCACCCCCCACGCTACGCCACTGTCCCTTTGGGAAGCCCAGAAGTGGGACATGTCTTGAACAGCACAAGACACATGCAGTGAGACTTAGGTCATTACCAGCCTGGAGGAAGAACTACCTTGTCCCAAGGTAGGATGAAGTGGGCAGAAGGAGATGTACTTTGTTCCTTTTGATATAGCAGATGTACCCTTTGCCTTTTAATGTTTTGTGCCTGGAGCAGAAGGAGAAGGGTAAAGACAATCACCATGTACAGCTCAGTCCCAATAATGCAGTGAAAACTGCTCTTTTGGATTATGCTAGGATAACATTCCATTTCAGCTTTTG